GTCCAACCTATTGTAAACATCAGCAAACTTCTTGTTAAACTCCAAGTTACTATTGAGTCGTCCTTGGATTAACTGCTGGAGCATCCCTTTCATTTCAGCATCATTAGAGCTTGAAATATTAGCTTGACCTTGTGCAGCAAAACCAGGAGGAGCAAATTGTTGTTTTGGCTGATAGTTCCCTTGAAAGTTATTCTTGAGAGCAAAACTTTAGTTGTTGAAAGGCTAAAAGTTCCTTTGTTGGTTCCCTTGTCCTTGGCCTTGTTGTGGAGGATATGATATCTCATACATTTATATCATTTAGGCTTGCATTTAGTCCATGTTTTGGTCACCTTTTGCATGTTTTCTTTCTCTTTAGTCCCATTTTTATTTTCTTTTAGACTTAGGTTGCATTTAGGTTGTAGTTTGCATTCTCTATGTATTAAGGATGTTTTTAGGTACTTAAGAAGCTATTGGGAGCAAGGAGGAAGTGTGGGAATGGTTCAAGAAGTTAGCCAAGCTGAGAAGGAGCAAAAGGAGCTAAGGAAGGCGATTTCTGGTGTTCCATCGGTTATAGCACGAGCTCCATCTGTCTGTGATGATCGATATAATGCAGCAGAGGAGTTGAAGATCCCATCGGTCATCTGCATCGATCACTTGTGACCGATGGGAAGAGACAGGACATCTGTATCGGTCATCTTTATCGGTCAAGATTGACCGATGGGATCAAGCCGAGTGTTCGAAGAAGCGTATCGGTCATCCGTATCGGTCAAGGAGTGACCGATGGAAATCAAGTAAATGCTCCATCGATCATCTATATCAGTCATTTGTGACCGATGAGAACCAGTCCGAACTTCCTTTTATTTACAATTTTGCCATTATTCTAGGGCTTTTGTCATCTAGTATAAATAGGCTTGATCTAATGTTTTTAGAAAAAGTCTTGTTCTTGCTTAGTTTTAAGAGTTTTTCCAGTCTTTTGTATTTGTCTTTTAATTTCTTCTCTAATCTCCCTCTTAATCATGTTTAGCATCATTTACTCTTGTGATTTGGTGTTTTCTATGATGATGAGTGAGTGGGTCCTTTAGGGTTTTAGATATGGTAGATTAGGGGAATTTAGAGACTTGTTTTAGATTTGTTAGTGATTAATATGATTGATTCCTCTCTATTAATCTGTGTTTAGGCTAGATTTGTCTTGATCACATGAATCTAGATTTAGGTTTCATCTTATGCCCACCAAGTGTTTTATGAAATGCTGATCTTGTTTAATAGAGGAATTACTGGCCTTAGCTCAAGAGATTGACTGTCTGAGGAGTACTTTGACTTAAATAGAGTTGGTTTTGCTTACTTGTTGATTGTTCTAGCACTAATGAGAGTTAGTTCTTGTTAGGATGATTAGCAAAGGGTTATTTGTCAAGAGATTGGACTTAACTTGCTTGATTGTGAACTCTATGTCTAGGAATCAGCATTGTTTGCTTGTTTGCATTGTCAATGATGTTTGAAACAACCTTATCTATCCTTTGAATTCCCCAAAGTCAATAAGCACATCTAGGATCCTTCTTTCTCTTATTTGAATTTCGAATTTTGCTTTAAGTGCTCTGTTTAATGCCTTGATTTGCGTCTGATCATTGCTAAGTTGTTCTCTTTTGAGTTCTGTTTGGTGCTTGATCACTTAGGTTGATAGCTTTAGTTGTGTAAACAACAAATTTGCTTGATTCCACCTGACTTAGAGCTTTCCGCTCATAATTCTATTGGCATATATTCATAACCCCTTGGATTGACATAAAACCCTTACTACAACTGACTAGTACAAAGGGTAATTGGCCAGAGAGTCAAAACTCTTGTATCAGAATACACTTGGTTTTGAGGATTAGCCACATTGTTGCTTCTATAGGACAGATTAGGATTCGGCATATAGTTGTCATAGTTGTTGTAGCCTCTTTGATTCCCAACATAGTTTATCTCCTCCACTTAGAGCCCTTCATCACCTTGTAGCTTAACCATTTCCCCAACAAAGTTAACCTCCTTGTGTTCCACTTGGAGCAGTCTATCAAGCCTTGAGTTCGTCTCTTTGATTTCTCTCCTAGTATACTCAAGCTCTTTCTTAGTAGAGTCTTGATCATCTCTTGAACCTCTTTGTGCTTGATAAGCAGGTTTTCACTACTTAAGCAATCAACCCACTACTAATCAGTTATAGTATAGTATAGGGTCTTTTATCAATCCAAATGGGAAAGATTATCATAGAGAATACATTTTATTCTTGTAAGCTAAGCCAAGCAAAGATGGTTGGTTTTAAAAATCTAACACCCTAACCAGTCACCAAACTGAAACAGGACAATGATCAAAGTGAAATAAAAACCATAAACAGCAAATAGATTCAAGCAGAACACAACATAAAGCCTAAGAAAATAGAGTGAATAGAGCAAAACAGAGATATTCTAATGATAAACAAGAGGGTTCAGGATGGGATGGTCAAGCTAGAATGATCCTTTGCCTTAAACAAGATGTTCAAACAATCAATGAATGCATGATCCTTTAGCATAGAAATCTAACATGTAAATCAATCCACTCTCATGATAATTATTCATTTGAATGCATAATCAAGATCTAATTCTCGTTAGTGATCAGGAAACAAACAAGCATAAAGAAATAGTTCTATCTAGCGAATAAGCTCCCTAGTCATTCATTCTCATGTCTAAAGATAAGCAAATCCACTAAGAAGCTGGTTCAGGTATTTCATCAAACAATTTTGGTGCAGAGAAACCCTAGATTCAAAATTCTATTGATCAGAAAGAATCAAGCATTAAGAACACTCAATAGTGAAGGATCTAACATCATCTATACTTTTTTTTTTCAACTTTTTAAATTAAAACTTGCAAATGGTTTAGACATGGCCCACTGGGCTAAGAGAGTTTAGGGCTGATTTATCCAGCCCATCTACTAAATAGTTTGCAGATCGATTGATAAAACTAAAAGAAATGGAAGACAAGAGAGAAACAAGTCTCCTGATATCGTCAAGGATGCCTGCTATCTCTACCAGTTCTGATCCCGGAATGAGGACGTTGATAAAGACTTCTGAGTCCGACTCGATGAGCATGCCTTTGATCTATAGCGAGATGGAGTCTCCAAAAGCGCCTAAGACTGGTAAGGCTTCTGCTGTCAGCACCGATGCTACGAATTGTCTTGTTGAGGAGCTTTCCGGGATCGTGTCTCCCTCTGGATTGGAGATAATCCAACCCATGCCTCCATTCTTGGATTCCGGGTTCCACGCTCCATCTGTGCAGCAAGTTGTGACCCTAGGAAGAGCAGGGGTCTTTTTGGCTTGGAGGTTTTCAGGTACTTAGGATCCTTTGCGCTCTGAAATTCTATTGATCAGAAAGAATCAAGCATTAAGAACACCCAATAGTGAAGGATCTAACATCATCTATACTTAAACATTATGTTTTCAGCCTTGGATTATCCTAAATCTAATCCATCCTTAAACCTAGAAAAGACTACTCACAAACCATGTTCAATCTATCAAATACAGAGAAAGAGATGTAGGAAATCATTATCCGAAGCAATAACAAGACAATCAATAACAAGAAATGCAAACTTCTATTAGAAACTCAATTTGTTGCTTACAAATACAAAAAAAAACTGGAAAAAGCTCAAGAACAAGAAAGAAAGAGTTTATGGATAAGATAAAAGTATAGAACTAAGATTAATGATTGATCAGTGATAAACAGATAAGCTTTTGCTTTTATAGTCAAGGGTCAAAGCTTGGTCAAAAGTTAAGTCTGCACGTTGACCGAAGTCAAAGTTGGCTGGGGAAGAGGATCATATCAGCCACCTAGCCGGTGCAGTCGCCGGTGTGAATTCGCATCGGGTGTAGTTGTCGGTGTGAGATGCTGGTGTGATCCCATTCAACGTATAGTTCCTCTTCAGCGAGGTGTAGTCGCCGATGTGAGTTCATAAAGCTTATGGCCATGTTGCAGCGAGGTGATGTAGCTGATACAATGCCTGGTGTCGTCCTTTTCTTTGTTTAGCTTCCCTTTGACTCTCCTCCATGCATCCACTTGAACTCCATTTGATAAGCAAACTTCTTTAGCCTTCATAATATCTAGATAACACCTCCAAAAATAATAAAATATGCAACACATATCTAGACACAAGATAGCTTGAATATAAATTTAGATGGGATCTGAATTTATGCAGGCCCGGTTTTAAGAGTGTGTTGGAGTTGCTTTTGCACTAGATCCTTCTATTTCATCTATTTTTTGTTACATTTTAGGGTCCTAATTTTTTGAAATCGTGTAATTAACGGTCCAATTTTTAAAAAATGGTGCAATTAAAAGTCCAAATTTTGATTTGGAACAGAGCCTAATTTTTGTTTGGGCCGGACCTGAGTTTATGTATGAAGTATATTCAAAAACATGGGATTATTATGTATACCGTTGTAACCACGGATACGGTTTATATAGTTAATGAAATGAATAATTTTGATCTGTTTACCAACTTTTTCTTCTTCTAATGATTAGACAAAAGAATAGTCTCGGATTTATGTTTTTATGAATAACCCGGGTTCGGCTCAGATTCAGCAAGCAACGATGATAAAAACACATTTTATTTCTTAATTTTTTAAAATAATACAAAAGTCCACACCTAACTAAAATCTGTAAGTACTAAGAAATTGTAATTGAGTTCAAGAAAAAGATAAACTGGTTTACATCACCAACCTACCGACTAATCAAACTCTCTAACATCTAAACCATTCTCTATTATATATTGCAAAAGATTTATAACCCACTTGCAAAATTGAATTAATATACCAAACAATATAATGAAATTGATTAATGTAATAGGTGTGACCAACATTAAACACATAGCACCAAGTCTAATATTCAAGTTATTTAAAAATTAACTGATCCACATAACAACCTCTGTCTGTTCCCCTTTTATTATCAAGAAAATTCAAATCCAAATAGGGATCGCCACAATCGTAGTGAAATAAGGATTGAAAATAGTTTCAAAAGCACAAGTGATGCTTATCGGAGATCAAAAACATTAAACTTGAGATCAGGGTCCATGTGAACACCTGTGTTGCACGTATCGTAAATTGGTCCTTGCGAGCTGTGTGGGTGAAAGCCTTGCTGGTTACAGTTCTTTATCACAGCCATTCCTTCGGGTACTGTCAGCCGGAATATTCCGTATTTCCTAAACAAATTAGAGATGCATTAGAGCTTTCCAAATCATTTCATTGAACATAAATAAAGTGGCCTTTTGTTCATTTATTACATTGAAGAGTCTTGTGGCGCCATAACAATTGATACAGTTTCCGGTGTCATAAGCTGAAAAAACATTGCAATTAGTGAGAGAGAGAGCCTGTCATTCCAAAAAATGTCAAATCATTTTCTCTGTACCTGGTATGAGAACTGGGTGTGTATATCAACGGCCGACATGAAGCAAGTCTGTGTGGGATGTGTCTAGAGACAGCGCGTAACGAGTCAGTCTACAAATAATATTTACGCAACAAGACTGATCTCAAACATACATCTATGAGATATAAAATCGTAATATATTCTACTCACATGAATCCAACCAAGTGGGACAAGGGAATGCTTGTTTTGTAATTCCAAAACCTCATGTTCGTCTGTGATCTGGCACTGTATAGAGAGACAGAGAGAGAGAGAAATAAGTGAACGTATAATATAAAATAAAACTAAGTTGAAATACCAAAACAAGACTGGACTTACAGAGTCCGATGTTGATTTCTGCTTTGGTATGATAAGAACAGTAATATAATAGATGTCGTTTTTCTGCATATACGTCAATCACAAATCATTATTTGTTGTCCATAAGCAAAAACAGAATTTGTATAGACATATGCTCACTAGTGATCCAGCCAGAAGACCACAAGTCTCTAGATTATTCTGAGTGTTTGACTCGGCAAGGCTCATAAAGGTATCCATGAGATGTGTTGCCTGCAATTTGAAACACAATTGGGTATTATAACACATAGAGCCAGTTCGTAGCAGTAGAATAAGCCACTAATCCTACGTTGAATTCAGAGAGAAATAAGTAAAGATACGTGTGTTGGAAACTTGGAAAAAAAGGTCAAATCATAATTTGTTGCTGGTCCAGAAGTAGGCTCTATACTCACTAGTGTACATAGGATAAGCTATACAACACGAAAAGTGAGAAATAACTTACGATGTGTAGTGACTTCAATGTGAGAGATTCAACTGCAGAAGTTTGATTTCCCGGAGGTGTTTCTTTGTTGCCGCCGGCGATCCCTGTATCCTTGAGCTTTACTTGCTTGTCGCCTTGGGAAGGATTCTTCGACGGGAAAGACGCAAGTGCAGAAGGTTTTCTTTCCGGAGGTGCTCCGTCGTCGATCACTATATGCGTGAGTTTCACTTGCTTGTGGGCAGAAGGATCGTTCTGGGCCGCCACGATCATCGAATCCCAATACTCGGTTGTTTCCACGATTTTATCATTTACTTCTACCACCGATAATTGGGCCTTTCTCAAATCACATTCTTTCCTCTTTGAACCCGCATCATCTCGCTAATCCAGAACAATTCTGATAGACTGAAGGTGCCTTTGGCGTTTATGAGGAAGAAGCCACGATCACAGATGAAAAGAGCTCGAGCTTTGGAGAAGAAGATAGTTATAGAAAGTGGCTAAAGTCAGGAAGAAAGGAGACGAAGACTCTCGTTCTGTGAAAGGGTTTAGTTATTGTAATACTCTATCGTTTTAACTATTGCATTGAATGTTATTTAAACAGTGTTTCCCTTTTAGGATTGATTATCTAAATAAGATCAAACATTAAATCTTCTCTTCTCTTATCCTTTCTTCTCTTATCTTATTCTATTTATGTTCGAGTTATTCTATTAATACGCTAGGTAAGATTTAGGTCTTATCATTGGTGCTTTCATTGAGAGTGCTGACTGTGAGAGATGTCGAGAAGAAATGACGAACGCTCCCACCGTTAGCGGCGCTGAGCCCATATCTGCGTCGATTGAACTCGAGACGAGTGTACCTGAGACACCGATTCCAGCTCTAACCGTTAATCAACGCCTGGACAAGCAAGATAAGGATACGCTTTGGGTCCGACAAGCGATGTTCGACATGATGAAGAAGATAGACTACCTGATGACCGGAGCTTCGCCGATAGGGTTTGCAAGTCCTATCTCTGCGACACCAAACCAAGCCGCCCCTTTTACGCCGGAACAACACTCAGATCGAACAAGAAGGGAATGGATCTTACCCCGACCCAACAAGGAGCTTCGACTGAGACGCACGGATGGCTTCGCGCTTCCCACGGCTCGAGAGCTACGGGTAGAGCGACCACAAGCTACAACGGAGGTTCCGTCTAAGCGAGTCGATCTATCGTTGTATGAAGGATACAACCTGGAAGATTGGCTCTTTCGGCTGGAGAAGTGTTGTGCCATGAACGGAACCGCAGAGGCGGAGAAGTTGGACCACGCGGTAATGTGTCTCCCCGGCGCTGCAGTGACCTGGTGGCAGGGAGCTCAGGAGAGAGAGCACATTGTAGCCTGGAAGGACTTCAAAGAAAAGTTCAAAGTAAGGTTTAAGCAAAGCCGTGGGTGTTCATCTGTGGACCACTTGTTCTGTATTTTCCAGAAGGAAAGCGTGGAAGAGTACCGGGAAAGGTTTGAAGCCTTAGTCGTTGAGTTGCCACATGTGTCGGATGATGTTCTAGAATCTACGTTCTTACGGGGGTTAAGGAAGAGCCTTCGAGACCAAGTGGTAAGATGCCGACCTGCGAATATGGCGGAGATTGTGGATATCGCGAAGCTGATCGAATCACAGGAAGGGGATCAAGTCAGCTACTTTAATCGAAACCCGCAAAGACCACAAAACGTCTATGTTACAACTCCTACAAATCGTAGCACCGGAATCACTTATGCCAAGGAGAACAAGAAGCCGGTTGTGGGAGGCTCTTCACGGGGTCCCAACCCGTGCAAGTTTTGCGGGAAACCTTGGTTCCATGGGCATCGTTGTAAGCAGAAGCTCAAGTGTATGGAGCTTGAAGATGAGGAAGCATCTAATCACGAAGGAGTGGAGGAACAGATTGAGCAAGAAACGGGAGTCCAAGAGGAAGAGCCACAGGAGTTAGTGACTTTATCTCTGCAATCTATGGTGGGATTGACTACCGTCAACTCAATGCGGATGCAGGGCAAGATCAAAGATAAGGATGTGATCGTCCTCATTGATTCAGGAGCAATGAGAAATTTCATTTCAGAGAAGCTCGTACAAGAACTGGGATTGACTCAAACTGATTCACGGGGTTTTGGAGTTCGAGTGGGCGGTGGTGAAATCATTAGTGGCAAGGGTCGATGTGCCGGTTTATCACTCGATATTCAGGGAGTCGAACTAGTAGAAGAGTTTCTGTGTTTTGATCTGGGAAACACGGATGTAGTGCTGGGGTATACGTGGTTGGCTTCATTGGGGGATACTCGCATCAACTGGCTGCGCAGCACTCTGAGCTGGAGAATCAGGGGGTTATGGGTCACCATCAAGGGAGATCCAAATCTAAGTCGAGAGCAGATTTCACTTCAGTCTATGGAAAAGGACCTCCAACATAATGGTGAGGCTTACTTGTTGGAACTCACCACGTTGTTCACGAGTGCAAGCCCACCACAGTATCACGAACATTCTCGAGAGCTGCAAGAAGTATTGGAGAAGTATACGGGAGTGTTTAATATGCCTAAGGGGCTGCCACCAGACCGTAAGAGGGAGCACGCGATCACACTTCAGGCAGGAGTAGGGCCTATCAACATAAGACCATACCGATACTCCTTCACCCAGAAGAATGAGATTGAGAAGTTGGTGAAGAAAATGCTGGAAGCCCGAGTAATACAGCCAAGCATTAGCCCTTATTCAAGCCCTGTATTGCTTGTTAAGAAGAAGGACGGAGGGTGGCGGTTTTGCGTGGATTATAGAGCGCTCAACAAGGCGACTATTCCAGATAGGTACCCCATTCCCATCATAGAGGAACTGTTGGATGAACACAACGGAGCAACTGTCTTCTCTAAGCTGGATCTTAAATTAGGATACCATCAGATTCGTATGAAGAGCAGTGACATCGAAAAGACTGCCTTCAAGACTCATGAAGGGCACTACGAGTTTTTGGTGATGCCTTTTGGCCTCACCAACGCACCATCAACCTTTCAGAGTGTCATGAATGATTTATTTCGGCCATACCTCCGAAGGTTTGTCTTGGTGTTCTTCGACGACATTTTGGTGTATAGTGTAGACCTCACTGCACACCTGAAGCACCTCGAAGTAGTGTTGGAGCTCATGCAACAACACCAATTCTATGCCAATGGCAAGAAGTGTTCTTTAGGAGCAAGGAAGTGGCTTATCTCGGACACTGGATATCCGGCAAAGGGGTAGCAGCTGATCCTGAGAAGATCGAAGCAATGTTGGCTTGGCCAAAACCAAAGTCAGTAACGGAGCTGCGTGGCTTCTTAGGACTCACAGGATATTACTGGAGGTTTATGAAGAGCTACGGCATTATGGCTCGGCCGTTGACAGAACTCCTCAAGAAGGAAGGGTTCAAGTGGTCCCCTGCGGCAGATGAAGCATTCAACAAGCTCAAAAACGCGGTGACTTCTTTGCCTGTACTGGTATTACCAGACTTTTCCCAGCCTTTCACCATCGAAACTGACGCTTCGGGTGCAGGGATAGGAGCTGTACTCTCGCAAGGGAGGAGGCCGATTGCCTTCCTTAGCCAAGCCTTCTCGGCCAAGGGAAGAGTTAAATCTGTCTATGAGAGGGAGCTGCTTGCGATTGTGAAGGCAGTTACCAAGTGGAAACACTATCTTACGGGAAAGGAATTCATAATCAAGACGGATCAGCGAAGTTTGAAGCATTTGCTTGATCAAAAAGCAGTCTCTTCCGTTCAGCAGCGTTGGGCCGCCAAGTTAATAGGTTTAAACTACAAGATCGAGTATAAACCTGGAGTTGACAATCGGGTGGCGGATGCTCTGTCAAGGAGACCACACGTGGAGGAGCTCAAACACTTCACCTTGATGGCTCCTCTAACCTTTGACAAAAAGGTTTTGGCAGAACAAGTGAAAGCGGACTCTGAATAGGGCGAGCTCTTGAGAAGAGTTGAGAGAGGGGAGAAAGATCACTCGGAGTATAGTGTCTACCAGGGTCTTCTTTATAAGCAAGGGTGCCTATTGTTACAAGCAGATTCCTGCTTCATTCCGCAGCTGCTGCAGCAGTTCCACTCGAGTGAAACAGGGGGTCATGAAGGCGCTTTGAAAACATACAAAAGGTTGAGACAAGAAGTCTCTTGGAGAGGAATGCGCAGAGATGTGGTAGAGTACATCCGACGTTGCCAAATCTGTCAAGAGAACAAGTACTCAACGCTTTCCCCTACAGGCCTGCTTTCTCTACTGCCCATTTCGAAGCAGATTTGGTCTGACATCAGTCTCGACTTCGTGGAACGGTTGCCACTCTCAAAGGGGTTCAGCGTCATACTTGTTGTGGTGAAACGCTTGAGTAAATATGGACATTTCATTGCACTCAAGCACCTCTTCACAGCTAACGTGGTAGCATAAGCTTTTGTAAGGGAAGTCGTGAAGCTTCATGGGTTTCCGAAGACATTGGTATCTGATCGTGACAAGGTTTTCTTGAGCAATTTTTGGTCTGAGTTGTTTAAGCTACAAGGATCCGCGCTGCAGAAGAGCACGGCTTACCACCCTCAAACAGATGGTCAAACAGATGGTCAAACCGAGGTGGTGAACCGTTGCCTCGAGACTTACCTGAGATGCTTCGCGGGAAGGAAACCAACTCAGTGGGTGCAATGGCTTCCGTCGGCAGAGTATTGGTACAACACGTCCTACCATTCTGCAAGTAAGTGTACCCCCTTCTCGGTAATGTACGGTAGAGAACCACCCCGTCTGCTTTGTTATGGGGATACTCCCACTGCTAACGCTCAGGTAGAGGAGCTGTTGAAGGATAGAGATAGTCTGTTAGTGGAGTTGAGGAAAAACCTGGAAGTGGCGCAAATGAGGATGGTTAAGAGGGCAAACAAACACCAAAGGGATGTGGAATTTGCTGTAGGAGATTTGGTGTATTTGAAGCTGAGGACGTATAGGCAACACTTGGTGGCTAAGCGCAGGAATGAGAAGCTAGTTCCATGGTTTTTCGGGCCGTATAAGGTGCTTAAGAAGGTGGGAAGAGTTGCTTATAAACTGGAATTACCATCGCACAGTGCAATACATCCGGTGTTCCACGTCTCGCAATTGAAAAGAGCCATTGCTGCTTCTCAGCAATTGCAAGACATTCCTGCTTGCCTGAGCCCATCACTGGAATGGAATACAGAACCAGAAGAGTTGCTTGATGCTCGCCGCTCCAAAACTGGCAACGAGACTGAGGTATTGGTTAAATGGCGGGGATTGCCTGATTTTGAATGCACT